ACTTTTGCGGATAACGGGTGTCACATAGTCAGCCCAACAAATCCCAAAGGCCGTTAATCTCGTTTTTCTTGACTGGAGCCGCTATTCGCTTAAAATAGATCCTCAATTATCCTCAAGAGGCTGAGTGGACCACATTCCAGACTCACTACTTCTCAGAAAATCTGGCAGAGCCGGGAATCGAACCAGGAACTCTGACCACTAGACCATAGAAGCGTTACCAATGCTGTTACAAAGTGAACTTAAGCAGGATGTAGGACACTGCAACTACAAAGAAATACAACATTACTAAGACTTTTATGGTCTTTTTGTGGAGCAATGAATTTGAATATTAAGCTGAGGAAATTATTAATGTGAGGAAATTTATCAATATTACTGACTTCATACAGGCAGTAGCATAGTTGGTTGAGGCACTATGCTACAAACTGAAAGGTTGAGGGGTTTGAGCCCCAATGAGTGGGAGTTCTTCAACTGACCTAATCCTTCCAGCCGCACTATGGCCTTGGGGTCGACTAAGCCTCTAAAAGAAATGAGAACCAGGAATCTTCCTGGGTGGTAAAGGGCGGCCTGTGCATATTGCTGACTGTCTAGATAATGTGGGACCCTCAACATCTCACAACCCTATGGGCCTCCATGGCCTGTTACAGGGACAGGTTTTTTTTACTTACTTGAGATATAAACGCTAATTCCTCAGAATAAATCATTACCAACTGAACAAATTAATAAACATTGCAAACTGGGCACTAAATGAGGAATTAATTTTAAATATAAGAACAACAGGTGGGTTCCCACGGTATATGATTAATTAATGTTCCTTTCATTTTTAACATCTGTTTCATTATCAAAACACAGCTTCTTAAATACAAAGCAACATTGTGACTTGACTGGAATCTGAATTTTATGTACGAGAATGTGGAATGCTTGACTTCATTTTGAAGTCAGGAAAATGTAATGACTTGCATCTACACAAGACCAACAGGAGAAAAGAAAGTATATCAACGACACATTCACTAGTACACAGCCACATTCCCCAATGTAACAATGAAATTTTACAACTTCTGAAGGCAAATTTCTGCAGTCATTCGTAGACGTTCGTAGACGCAGTAGTTACCATTTCCCTTTCCCCTATTCCAGTTGCCACCCCCTGCTCTCAAATCTCTAACCCCCTCTTCGCATTTTGGGACCGAGGCCAGCAAAATGGCAACTTTCAAATCAAATGGAGGCCGATGCCTTATGAAAGAGTTGACTTTGAGATAACAAACGAAGTTGTGAACTTGTCAAGAAAAACTAGAAAATGTAGAGCATACTCTTCACGTCTAGAGTTCGTATAAAATAGGTATTACTCCACAAAATGTATGAATATACTAATATACTAAAGTTTTGTCAAGATAGGCTGATCCTTGGTTCCTGAATTGTTTTTTCTAAGTGCACTGGTATTCGTAGAAGAGAGGGTAAAAACAAATTATTTTATGAATGCTTTTTATGTCAACATTAAATGACCATATTGTCATGCGGAGTTCTGGTTATACGGAATACGAACATCCGCGAATTATTATTTCCTTCAGATACAAGCTACGACGCCCCACGGATCAATACAAGTACTTCGCTTATAGGTATTAAGTTTCATCAATACGAGAGGATTACACTTCATAGCACTAATTCCCCCTTTGATAGCTTGGTTGCCTGCAAATTCTCAACTATTTGGGTCGTTCTGATTTAATGAGTTTTTACACTCTGGTCGTTGTTAGGTACCCTATAGAACTATAGATCTATAGATCACCGGGTTGTTACGTCGATCAGATGGAGCTAACTTCAGTCACTCCCTTATATTAGAATACATAGTCTCACAAAGCAACTGCATCATGAGGAGCTTCATAACTTTTACTCTTCTCCAAGTATAATTAGAATGATCAAGTTAAGGAGGAGAAGGAGGTAGGCAGGGCATGTAGGACGAATGGGGGAGTTTAAGAATGCGTATAGGATATTGGTGCGAAAGCCAGAAGGAAAGAGGCCATTGGGAAGACCAAGGCGTAGGTGGGTGGACAATATTAAAATGGATCTTAGGGAGATGGGATGGTATGTATTGGATTAATCTGGCTCAGGCTAGGGACCAGTGGAGGGCACCTGTGAACACGGTAATGAACCATCGGGTTCCATAAAATGCTGGGAAAGTCTTGAGTAGCTGCAGAATTGGCGGCTCCTCCAGAAGGGTTCGGCTCCATGAGTGAGTGAGTGAGTGAGTGAGTAAGTAAGTAAGTAAGTAAGTGTCACAAAGCAAATTCAAATTTAGTAAACATGCAAAGAAAGCTAATCCAATTATGAGCCCATGTAAAAGTAAAAGTGAAGTGAAGCTATCCCTGTAACAGGCTGTGAAGACCCATAGGTTTGTGAGATGGTGAGGGTCCCACATGATCGAGACAGTCAGCTCAAAAATGGCAGTAAGGTTGTCAGCCTTACGCATCGGCCGCGCTTTATTCCCCAGTGAAATTATTTAATTAATTCCTGGTACTCGTGTTAGAGGCTGAGTCACCTGGAAGGATTAGGTCAACTGAAAATAAAAAACAATGACCTCCTCAGAAATTGAACCTCTGACCTTCCTGCTGGTAGCACAGTGCCTCAACCAACTATGCTAC